AGTCCTCCTGCCCTGCGTGCAGGTGGCTCAGGAGTATGTCCCCGGGGGGGTTCCTTCTGCGGCAGTGGGGAGCAGAGACCTGGGGGGCAAGGGACAGCGAGATGGAGCAGTGCTGGATCCCCATGTGGTGCCTGTGGATGGGTGTCCATAGTCCTCACCTTCTCTCTGCCTTGCAGCATCTCTGCCCTTTGTCATCCTGACACTAGTGAACTCCCCGTACAAGCGAGGCTTCTACTGCAACGACGACTCCATCCGCTACCCCTACAAGGCGGACACCATCACGCATGGCCTCATGGCCGGGGTCACCATCACCTGCACTGTTGTCATTGTAAGGAAGCACCATCCCCTTTCCTCGGGCAGGGACATCCTGGTTCTATCTGGGAGCCTGGGTCAAGCCCGGCTCTGCTGGGCATCAGGAGCATCCCCTGGGGCTGTGAGACCCTCATCCTGTGGGGCTGGTTCCCTGCAGGGAGGGGCAGAGGCCCCGTGAGCTCCTGGGGCTCCTCTGCTGCAGACCCGAGAGCCAGAGCATCCCGAACCCCTGGTGCTGGGGAGCTGCCCCATAGCCCCAAGACCCTCACCTCTTGACTGTTGGTCTTGGCAGATCTCGTCGGGGGAGGCATACTTGGTCTACACGGAGCGCCTCTACTCCAAGTCAGAGTTCAACAATTACCTGGCTGCCCTCTACAAGGTGGTGGGAACTTTCCTCTTTGGGGGGGCCATCAGCCAGTCGCTGACTGACCTGGCCAAATACATGATCGGACGTCTCCGACCAAACTTCCTGGCCGTCTGCAATCCTGACTGGTCCAAGGTGAACTGCTCCATCTATGTGCAGCTGGAGAATGTCTGCCAGGGGGAGAGCAGGAACATCACAGAGTCCAGGTGAGCCCTGTGGCCACGGGACACGTCCCTTCCATCTGTCTGGCTGTGCTGGGCTCCTGCAGTCTGGTGGCAGCTCCAGACAGGTATCGGTGTTCTCCTGTTGCAGAGCAGGTGAGGGGCTTGCAGGGGGCCAGCTCGGCACTGGGGGCTTGCTCCCATGGCCTGACCTATCCCTTTTGCCCCACAGGTTGTCCTTCTATTCCGGACACTCCTCCTTTGGGATGTACTGTATGATGTTCCTGGCGGTAAGTGCTGTGCTCTGGGCACGTTCTGCTGTGAGAAGGCAGCGAGTCCCTGTGGGTGCCGGGGCCCTGAGCACCTTGTTTTCAGGCCAGTGACTGCTCCTCCCTTTCCCACCCAGCTCTACGTGCAAGCCCGGCTGGTGGGGAAGTGGGCCCGGCTGCTGCGCCCCACCATCCAGTTCTTCCTCATCACCTTTGCCATCTACGTGGGCTACACCAGGGTGTCTGACTACAAACACCACTGGAGCGATGTGCTGGCAGGGCTGCTCCAAGGGGCTCTCATTGCTGTCCTCATCGTGAGTGTCCCCTGTGCAACCTGATGCTTGGCTGGCTTGCGGCTCACTGCAGCTCAGCTGGTTGGAGGGGTCCCCAAATCATCTTTCCCATCGGTCTTTTCCAGGTCCGTTATGTCTCCGACTTCTTCAAGCACCGTCCCCCACGGCCGTGCAGTGAGAAGGACCCGGAGCGTAAGGCCAGCCTGCCGCTCACCATGACCGCCCCCGAC